GAATAAGGAACTCCACATGTAGTGCATAAGGCATAACTTTTGCAGAAATTGTGTAAGCACCTTATAAAGAATAAAAAAGTGTCCCAAATATGCTCTTATCTGAATTTCATATAAATATGTTCACATATTTGACAAAAAATGCTTTACACCATTAGACGAGTAGTCACTTCTCATTCTCAAATTCCTGGATTTTCTTTCAGAGTAACAGCCGTGTTAGTCTGTATTCGCAAAAAGAAAAGGAGTACTTGTGGCACCTTAGAGACTAACCAGTTTATTTGAGCATAAGCTTTCATGCGCTACAGCTCACTTCATCCAATGAAGTGAGCTGTAGCTCACGAAAGCTTATGCTCAAATAAATTGGTTAGTCGCTAAGGTGCCACAAGTACTCCTTTTCTTTCTGGATTTTCTTGTTTCATTCTACTAAGCAAAGCAGAATTATCAGAGGACATTGCATATTTTACACTCGTGTGTTTCCAGCAATAATAATAAAAACATATAGACTACAATATTGTATTTAAAAACACAATTCAAATACAAAGGCTTACTTGCCATCTCGGTTTTTATGTTTCTGTTTCTAGCATAAAATTTTTTTAGAAATAAGAGGCACTTGCTTTCTTGCTCATTTTCCTCTATAATATGGTACCACATTTCTCTGTACTTCTACTCAGTACATTAGGTTTTTATCTACAGTAATATAATTCACAAATAATGTACAGTAAAATTCAAAATGTGAAACAGAAGTACTTGAGATGAGAGACCATTGTTTATGCAGAGCAATATCATAATTTTTGAAAGGACCAAGAGGTCGGGTATGGCTTCTGATTAATACTGATGAACCCGATTCCTAAAGACTAATATCCCGAATGGGAAACTGATACCTTTACGCATGCAGTCTATCCAAGGTATTCTCATTAAAACAATTTTTTAAATGTTATAAGCTTCACTTTGTGTCAAGATATTGAAGGCTTTCCATATCTGATTAAAATATTAAATGAGGTATTGGGCTACATTAAAAATCAACCTTTTTCACATATTGAAAAGTAATGGTCTATAATTTTTATTAAAGTGCTTTTATTTCCAGTTAATGATAATTGTACCACAGCCAACTTTGTGGCCTGTTCAACTGAAAACCTCCAGGGATATCCCAAAGAAGAGATTGTACAACAGAAGAGACACTTCATATAACATTGCTTCCTATTTTGTATTTTTTACATTTGATCCTAACTTTGACTGTTTTATTTTCTGTTTATTTTTCTAGCTGATGGGTCCTACAAACTGGTAAATGTGCAAGCAAGAGCACAGTTGTTAGATCTACCAGCAGACTTGGGACACAGCAGTACTGCCAAACTCGAGCATTCAAAAAACTATGACTCAGACCTCAAAAATTGAGAAGATTGCTTACACACCATGAGATTTTAAAAAATTAAATAACTCACATTGTTTTTCATCTTTTCTGTTTTTTCACCTTTGGAGGATGCCCATACTCAACTTGTGAACAATCACTTCAAATTCAAAATAAAACCTCAAATGCCCACAAAAAAATGTTGTCCTCACTGTTCTCTCTGAGAAGATGGACTCTTCAATTTTACCCCCTGGGATGCAGGGAACTACCATTCCATTTCTATTTCCCTCCATAACTGGACAGGCTAGACAGCTGCCCAGTTCACGGTCCCCCAGGCTCCCACCTACCTCCCTACATTCACTTGGCTCCCTTATTTCCCTTCCTTTTCCCTCACAGTCTTCTGCCTTTCACGCTCTTCCTACCTGCCACATTTCCCTGTGACCCCTCAATTTCCTCCTGACACCATTTCCCCTGCATGCCCTCTCAGGCCTTATGTAGGCTAGAGTAAAAAGTGTGTTAGAATGGATTACCTAACATGTTTAAACTAACAAGTTTTAAGAATCTAGTATAGACAAAGCAGTGTGTATTCTTTAACATGTTCTAAACTGATCAACTTCAATTCCGTAGGCTTTAAAACTAGATCAGTTTATCACATGTTAAAGAATACACTGCTTTTTCTGCACTACTCTCTTAAAACATCTGGTAAGAATGCATTACTTAACAACCTACAACATCACACCTTTTATGCTAGCCTAGACAAGGCCTTAGTCTGCCTCTTGCTCTCGATACTTCCCTGTGCCAATCCTTCGCCTCTGTTCTGCTCTTCATATACCTCTGCATGCCCTCAGTGTGCCTTCTGCTGCACACATTTCCTTGTCCCCTCATAGTTACCTGCTCTATTTCTTAAACACATTCCTCTTCCCAGTTTCCCTCACAGCCTCATTTCTGGCCCCTGCCAGGCCCTCTCACATGGTGACTAAGGGATTGCCATCTCCTGAGAACAGCCTGACTTCAGCCCCATTGGAGAGAACTGGAGCCTCATTTTCCTCTGCAAAGGGTAAAGGGACATGATGGTTATTGTGCTGAGGGCACATATAACTTCAGTCCTATTGACAGTAATGGGAGATGGTGGCCATTTTGGGTAGAGGGCAAAACTTTGCAATATTGAAAGCAGAAATAAAAAAATCACTGAGACTCTTAAAACCCCCCAAATATCTTGAGACATTTGATAAAATTGCAAGAGCTTGAAATATTGAAACAGAAAAAAAGAAGGGATTACAGTTTAGATCTGATAAGTAGTATGCATGCAGGATGCATGAGGCAAGACACTACAGACCAGAGCCCCAGGACTCGGAGCTATTTTTGGTTGAATAGCCTATCAGCTTTGGTTAATACGCCTCCCTGCAGTGACACCCAGGTGCAGAGAATTTCTCTGCACTGTTTGTGATGGAAAATTCTAGCATACGATAAAGCAAAACGCATGTGAATAATATTTAAACCCACAGACCCGTAGCTTTAGGTCACATGAAATGGCCATACCATCTTTTCAATATTTTGAGTCCATCTCAAAACCCTAACACAGATCTCTGTAATACCCCACTAGACATTTTCCTCCAGCTCAATATATCAGAATTTTTCAATTTTTTAACAGTGTTTTGGACATTTATCAGACCACCAGTGCCTCTAACCAGCTAATTTGATTTCAACTAAAATTTCATGTGACATGGTATCAAATTACTAAATTTCAAGTATATTACATCTTATCCCGCTCACACACTAATTTTGTAATTCTATACATTGGACAGTTAATTACCAGAATCATTCCAGTAAATTTCCATAATGCCTGCTGGATCACAGACTGCATAATTTAGTATCTGTTCTTTGAACAGAGTGAGGAAAGGATGGACAATATATAATTAGATGTAGCTTCACTGGATACTAGGCAGGTGAAAATGAGAATACAGGTTAAAAATCCCGAAGCCAAAACTGAAATTTGAAACAAGCAAGTGACTCTTTACTGGCACCTCTGTAAATCTATCTTAAGGAGAAAATTTGAAAGAGCCAGACAAGGCATATGCTTCTGTTATTCCTCGAACACCCCCTCATTTGGGTATCCAAGCATGTGTTTGCACCAGAAAATCAGGGAATGACATGACTAAATGGACAGCAGCACATGCCATGACCTGAACTTCTATCCATAAACACGGGAGTTTGTGAGTGCAAAGATATTTCGTGTGGTCGACCCACTCCAGTGGCTCTTGAAAATTTGACTCGAGTCTAAATCGATCACTTTTCAAGGCCAACAAACCACTTCACTTTTGCTTTGAATTGGTGGATAATTCACTTAGAGAAAATAATCATGTGGTTTGGAATGCCTAAGTAGGCTGAGACAATGCCATTGCTTTCATAGAGATTTGGTTTCCTAAAAATTAAAGTGGCATACAGCAGGCATCCCAATTTTTGAAGAATAGGCCTTTTAGAATCCCAGTGAGAAGGCAACAAACCAAGGGAGACCCTAAAAGCATTCATTGTCCAACATGAGAGAGAGAAAAATTAAGACAGCTAAATAAACACCATACCTTTAAATAAGAGTAACAAGGTCACTATCTCTACTCTGATGTAGTCCTAGCCATTCAGGCCAAACAGAGAAAATACGCCAGATTTATAAGCGGTGTATATTGGCATAGCTCCACTGAGTTTCAGATTACACCAGCTGAGGATGTGAAATTAGCAAAAGAGGCCTCTGATTTTACCCTGGCAAACTTAAATACAATATGAAGAAAACCCACACATGGTCTGCCAATTTTTTTTTTTTAAACACAAAAGAAAAAAAAAATCGAGAAAATCACAGGATGTGGTACTGATCAAGCACAGTGTTCTGATGGGGACAATGACAAAATTTGAAATTTCCCCAAAACAAAGGATAAGTCTAACACATAGAACAGATAACAGAAATGTTGCCTGTAAGCTTGTTTGTTTGTTGCAAATGGTCAAGTTTGTATGTTAATTGGTTTTCTATAACAGGATGACTCTGGAGGAAATATATCATGTATTTTTGTCTTAAATCGCTTTATAAATCATTTTGAAACTGAGACAATTGCTATGAAAGCTAAATATATGAATAGCCAGTACCATTATTAATCTCTCATCTGTGTTATAATAATAACATTGATTATATAAGTTATTTACATGGTGTAGCTGTTTTGACATTGCGGAGGCCTGTGGAACTATTCCTCACCATCTGTCATAGCTCAATGAATGTCAAAGGGAGAAATCCATTAAAATATGGCAAAATCTAGAAGTAATATGCAGGATTCTTGAACAAGTAAATGAAATTTTATGTCACTATGGTTTCCTCCAGAACTTAGGCTTAGATAGCCAGAGAAATTTCTAGTGATTAATATGCCTTAATTTATGTTAACTGAACATTTGCATCTGTATAATGTGTTTCAGTTCTGAAGACAACTAAGCCTTTATCTCAGATACCTTTTTGATGCAACTATTCAGTTACTATTTGCAGTGTATGCCATTCCAATTTTAAACAAACAAAAGGCTTTAAACAAAACAAATATATAAAAATGTTTAAAAAGAGGTGCACCTTGCAAAGTTTAAATACCAGTTTATTTGGCAATGTCATGAAATATTTAAAAATGCTTACCTCTTCTTGCTTGGGAGTGCTAAATATTGCCATCTTGGTCTTGGCCACAGCTGGGTCAGGCTTATTAGAAGGTACTCCCCTATATGATGTACAGTGCTTGTTAGCTTCTGCTGATAACTTTAGCTTTGGAGAATCATCAGGAGCCTGATCTTGACCATCCATTGGTCTTACATAAGCCGTTGGTTTCTGTTGAACTATATTAGGCTTTGAAGCTAGTGAAGGAGGGAAGTTCTGAACACAGTGCGCACTGCTGTGTTTTGCTGGCCTTTCTTGAGCCTGAGAGCCTACTTCTACACTGCAATTTAGTTTTGACTGCTGTTGTGCTTTGCTGACACTGTCTCCAAGCACGGATCTTAAAGTACCTTGTTGTGCTGCACTGACAGATGACGATGTGGGACTCGATGCAAAGTGTTTAAGCTTTTCCAGACCAGTTTTTTGGTTAGCCATTTTGAAGTCACTATTGTGTGACTCAAGCAATCTGTGCCCATGCTTGCTTGCCCTCTGCTGGCCATCAGAAGCATTTTGCCCAGCTTTCTGCCAACCCATTGTGGGGCTCTTGCTTTGCTGACCAGATAGAGCTGCTGGTATGGATGATGAAGTGCTGCAGATGGAAGGCTGAGGCTGTGGTCTTGAATCTGCAATGAAATGTTCATCAGTTTTGTTCACAGGTGCCTGTGGAATCCCAGGTTTTGGAACTCCAACAAGATGACTCTGGTTGGATCGATCTGTCAATAAGTCCTTCATTTCATCATAGTTACCTAATGTATTCTGGATACGATTTGAGAGCTCATCCCCCTTGTTAGTCTGCAAAACAAAACAAAAAAAAATCAAACAAACATTCTGTAACAATTAAAGTAAAAGAAAACAATACCATTCATGCTTCACTCCTTACTGAAGCAGCACTGCCTTATATAGTAACACAGTTGAGGAATGAGATCAAAAATCCTTATTGTCTCTGAAGACACTTGTCAACATCTTAAATCTACCCTGAACTGGAAAAGCTGTAAAGGGCCTCAGAGTATATAAAAAAGAAATCTACCACTGGTATCACACTGTCGTTAAAATATATTACCTGGAAACTAGAAAATTTATTATTGCGGCTATGCAGAATGATTTGAATTAAATCTGGTCATAATAAAGACATTTCCTTTGTTGGGAGCCAAGTACTGAATTGAGGCCTACAAGGTGCTTAGGCAGCAGCCTTAGCTACTGCACCACAGCAATGCACTGGTGTGCTGCCTCTGACCAACAGCCTTAGTACTGAAGCCCTACAGGCCTACAGCACCCAGTCCCCTGATTAGATGGACAGGCAGCACTTTCATTGAGTAACTGGACTATATAAATGCCTGAACAGGAAGACGAAGCTGACTGAACCCCAGACCACTCCCCAGTCTACTTTGCCTTGCTGCTTCACCTGGACCCTACCTTATTGCCTCATCCAACCTCATCTCCCCAACCCACTAACCTGGCCCCTCGGATTGAGTCTTCCGGCTACTGAAGAACTCCGTCAAGAACTCTGACCATGGCCCCAGACAGCCTCTGATATGGACTGACCCACTGGCTGCCTGACCATCTGCACATACATTACTGCTCTGGACTATCCCCTGGCCCATCTGGCACTAAATCCTTGTAGTCCACAGCAAGCTTCCCCTTTAAGACATGGGTCAGGTTTCAGCCATGAATGAAAATACTACATTCTTGATTTCCTCCAGTATGCATTCTTTACAGAAATGTACACATAGCAGAAAAGGGAGGCAATACAATAGCTTAAGAAAGTACTGAATTCACCAGTCAGCCTACTGCATATTCTGAGCTGACCCTAATATCTACGAGGGTCCCATCAAAGTGAGCTAATGGGACATGGGAAAAATATTACTGACTTGTGATTCTACTTCTCTGAAAAGATCATTTCTGACAGAATTCTCACTCCTGGGTCTTAGCTAGGGTGACCAGACAGCAAATGTGAAAAATCGGGACGGGGGTAGAGTGGTAATAGGAACCTATATAAGACAAAGACCCCAAAATTGAGACTGTCCCTATAAAATCAGGACATCTGGTCACCCTAGTCTTAGCTCTTTTGCAAAAAAACAGGAAGTTCTTAACATTTTTTGGCAGTGGTAGAGAGATGGAATACAAGCAAGTTGCATTTTCCATCCTCCCAAGGGTGGAATGTGCTATCATCTGAGCTTAGCCACCGTCTTCGAGCAGGAGGCAAAAGCTCCCCAAAGAAAGAAGACAATCAATAAAAATAATTGAAAACTATTGTCTCACGAAGTTAATTGTAAACAAAGGTGTAAACATTAACATGACCACCTCACAGATTCTTCCAAACTCTGCAGAGAAGCAGGTGTTTGAGTGAGAATCCTGTCAGGCTACCTTTACAGAAACAGGATTAGAGGTCAGTAATTTTCTGCCTTTCCTCCACCAGTGGTGAAATCCTGATCCCACTGAAGTCAATGGCAAAACACCCATTGACTTCACTAGGACCAGGATTTAACCTCAGGATTCATGCTCCTGGAGAGAGAGAGAAGCAGCTCAAGGGAAGAACATAAAAAAGAATGTAAAAAAGAAAAAGAATGTAAATAAATCTGCAACAGGAAACAGTAATCAGGCCAATACCAACCATGGAGAGGCCGGTGGGGCCGGGGGGCGGGAGAGCGGCAGTTGGCTTACTTTTTATAAACTTCATATATAATTGGTTTAAATTAGTCATATACTGAAAGAACCAAACATGCTAGGGGAAAGGAGAATTGGTACTCCCCTAACTCAGAAACAGTATCTGCATCACAGAAACAGGATTTCCTCCTAGAAGCTGAATCCAAGTAATAATGCCTTAGGGAAGTGTGGCATGAGGGCCATGTAGCTGCCTTGTCAATGTTTGCAAGGGAACCATCCCCCCAGGGCAAGCAGTGCAGACAGCTTTGCCTAAAGCTGAACATGCCTTGCACTAGCCTTCTAGTTTCAGGGCAGCCAGGTGATAGATATGCAAAATGCAATCCAACTACAATTTTTGAAATGGATCACTTAGTCACAATATTGCCCAGTGGAGTAAAATAAAAAAAAGTTGGGAGGCTTTTTTAAAGATTTAATCCACTCCAGTTAAAATGCCAAGAACTTTTTGAGCCTAGGGAGAAGAGTATCATGGGTACACGTGGGTGGAAAGAACATTGGCAAGTTGTGAGGCTGACTATGGTGGAAATTTGTCACCACCTGCAAGAGTAATCTCAGCTGAGTCTGAAGCATCACACTGTAAAACTTGGAATAAGATGCAACAGTCATGGGAGCTTGAAGCTCGCTCTCTCTACAAGCAGAAGTCACTATCACACTGAATTTGAGCTCACAGATATTTGGCGGCTTAAAAGGGAGTTTTCATCAGCTTTGTCAGGACCACACTAACATCCCATAATAAAGAGAGCTATTAACGAGATTTAAAAAATTGAAAGCCCCACATAAATCTGAAGATACGGGTCTACAGAGAATACTTTGACTAGTTCTCAACAGGCCAGATGTTTCTTAACTTAGTTGGGATTTAAATTAGACTCAGGCAGTAAGAAGCTAGTCAAGCATAGGTAGTAAAGGGGTTGTCATGGGCCTGCTTGTATCATGCCACAACCTTCTTCTACCTGGAATTGTAAGTCCACCTGCTACATGGTTTTTGAAAAGCTAGGAAGACTGGAGCTACCAGTTCAGAAACAGCATAACTAAACATCTCTATCCTGTCAGGAGCAAATCTTCTCAAGGAGGGAGTTCCTGGGTTGGGAAAGAGGAGAGTGCCCTCGGGCCAGACTCCCAGCCTCACGGAATCGGGTATCTGCAACAGAGTTGACAACTATACTTGTCTGGGCCAGTATGGGGTTCGTAAGATCACTCTCTAGACTAAACTTTGCCAAGATCTTAGCTAGCAGAGGTACTAGCAGAAAGGAACAGAGGAGGTAACTTCTTCACTCGATCTCTTCTTCTCCAGCAGATACCTCACTAGTGCAGTCTTTTTCTCTGTGTCTTGGTCAGACGACTACTGAAGAGATCCACCTCTGGTACTCCCCACTGGAGGGAAGAGCTGATACACCATTCCTTGATTCACAGACCATTTGTGAGGATCTGTCACAGACTGATCCAGTCTGCCTATGAGTATGTTCTACTTCCCTGCTACATGTATGGTGTCAAGGAATGTTTAGAGAGACAGGGCCACTTTAACATAAGCAGGTTTTACCAACTCAGGCAGTGTTATAGGATCCCACTACAGAGCAAGCCCCATGTGCACAGAAGCTATTCACCAGCTGGTGCTTCCTTGTGCTGGGTGTGGGGTTGATGGGGCTCCCCCGCTGGTCACCTTCTCCTGTTGTTAGCCTCTGTCTGGGTCTTTTGTGACTTAAAAGTTCAAACCACCTTCTGGGGTATCCAAGTCTAGCTGTAACTGGACAAGCCCCAAGCTGGCTTCTCCCAGCTAACTTCTTCAAAGTCCCTTCTCCCATCTGCTCCGAGTTCAGCAGCAAAGTCCTTCTAAATCAAACAGAATTGCACTCATCGGTGGGTTTTTTTGGAAGAGTAGCAAGTCCCATGACTTCTGCCTGGGCTCAGGAGAACTCCAAAACGTCTTTCACTCATCTAAGCGCTTGAGCCTCTTGCCCCTCTTGGGTTCCTCTTCAAATCCCAGTTCCTCTTACAGAACATAGCCCCCAGGACTTCCTCCCTGGAGACTGGCCCTTTGTTCCAGGACCTACCACACAAGTTAGTGCCACTCTAGTGACTCAGCTCTCCAGCCACAGCTCAACAACTCTCCTCCACAGCCAGCCCCTAAGTGCTGGGTTTCCTCCCTTTTTAAGTCCTACACCCAGATCAGGTGTGGTAGGGCCTGGCTAATTAAACAAGGTTGGCCAGGCCCTGGCCTCCTGGCCCTTAAAGAGGCAGGTCACCCCATGACATGGTGCTTCCCTACTTATTGATGTAAAATGTGGTGGCCTGATTCTCCTCAAACTAGGGCCACCTTTTTGAATACCAGGCCTTAAAGCCTGAGGAACTGTCCATATCCCTATGTGTGAACATTTTTATGCAGCCTTTGTTCCTGGAAAGACCAACTTCCTCCAAGCATTTGGGCCCCTCTCTATGGACTCCCTGTCACAAGCTAGGCACATTTGTGCTCACTGCAATTTGGATGTCCATAGCTCAGGGGTAGGCAACCTGCAGCATCCAAGCTGATTTTCAGTGGCACTCACACTGCTCGGGTCCTGGCCATTGATCCAGGGGGCTCTGCATTTTAATTTAATTTTAAATTAAGCTTCTTAAACATTTTTAAAACCTTATTTACTTTACATACAACAATAGTTTAGTTCTATATTATAGACTTACAGAAACAGACCTTCTAAAAATGTTAAAATGTATTACTGGCACGTGAAACCTTAAATTAGAATGAATAAATGAAGACTGGGCACACCACTTCTGAAAGGTTGCCGACCCCTGCCATAGCTAATTGAAGATTGTCTCTAGATGCCACCAGGCTAGAGGTATTCTCTCATCTGAATGTGATGTGAGAATGTGCGCTCTTGGGGGCCACTGAACAGATCTCATCTGCAAATGTGCTATGGGAACTACAAGTACAGCTGTAGCCATCAGATCCAACATTCTTAGTATGGTCTAAGCTGTCATCTGCTGGCTCTTCCTTATCTTCTCTGCCAGAGTGGTAAGGTCTTGGATCCCATCCTGAGGCAGGAAAGGTTCAAGCTAAGCTGTATCTGTCTGGGCTCTCGGGTATTCTAATTGTCTGCTAGGGACAAGTTGGAATGTCGGGTATTTTAACAGGAACTCTA